AAAGGAAAATGGTATTTCCTAGAGGTTGCATTGAGCTTTCTATAATCTATACAAATCCTGTGTCCAGTTATAGTCCTAATAGCAATCAGCTCTTCCCTCTCATTCTTTATCACTGTCATTCCCCCCTTCCTGGCACCACATGTACTGGTGAAACCCATCTAGAGTCTGAGATTGGATAAATTATCCCAGCCTCTAGGAGTTTGAGAATCTCTTTCTTCACTACCTCTTTTAAGTTGGGATTGAGACGCCTTTGGTTCTCAATGGATGACATAGATTCCTCCTCTAGGTGAATCCTATGAGTGCATAGGGAGGGTGAGATACCCTTTATGTCATTCAAAGAGTAGCCAATGGCTCTCCTATGTTTCCTCAACTCTTCTAACAACTTATGCTCTTGGTCCTCTAATAGCTTATCATTGATAATGACATGATAAGACTCATTGAGACCTAAGAAAGCATACCTGAGCCCCTTGGGAAGAGGTTTGAGTTCCAGCTGAGGTGCCTTAGACTCATCCCAATCAGCACTGAAGCTGTCTTGCATGGTTGCAGCTCCCTTGTTGCTAATCTGCTCACATGGTCCAGCCTGCTCCTCCACTTTAGAACCCACGGCCATGACTCCTTGAACCGCTCCTTGGCTTGTGTTTGAGCCTCTGGTATCCAATACCTCAGGGACACTTTCTTCCAATTCCAAGAACCCTGCCTCAGAGCCAAGTTCCCTTGCATTGTCCAAAAACAGCTTGTACCCTTCACTCTCCTCTGCCAAGAACCCATGGTCTCCTTGTTCTTTGGTTAAAGCAACTTGAAGAGGATCATCAGTATTCAATTCCTCAAGCAACTCATCAGCTAGTTGATCCATGGTCTCTACATAGAAGCATTGTCCTTCTGTGGTGGGCTTCTACATCATGTCTTTGATATCAAACTTCAGCTTTTCTTTACCAAGTTGTAGCTCAATGATGCCACCTCTTACATCAATGATTGCTCCTGCTCTGGACAAGAATGGTCTGCCCAAGATCAGTGGATCAACTGGTTTTTCATCCATTTCTAGGACCACAAAATCTGTAGGCACTTCAAAACCACCTATCTTGACTGGCAGGTCCTCTAACATCCCAACAGGCAACCTTACTGATCTATCAGCTAGGACAAGAGAGATTCTAGCAGGTTTGAACACTCTGTATCCAAGCTTTTTTGCTATGGAGAATGGCATTAAACTGACAGATGCACCCTAGTCACAAAGGCAACCAGCAAACATTAATGGACCTATACCATAAGGGAGAGTAAAGCTCCCTGGATCAGACAGCTTCCTTGGGACTGAAATTCTCTGAATGATAGCACTACACTGATGGCTAAGCACCACCATACCCTATAGCTCTTTGGTTTTCTTCAAGATAGCATCCTTTAGAAACTTTTCCAGCTTAGGCATCATCAGAAATGCTTCAATGAGAGGCATTGTAAGTGGTGTCTCATTAAGTTTCTTCTCAAAGAGTGCCCTTGCTTTATCTACAATCTGCTTCTTGAATCTTCCTGGATATGGAAGCTTAGGTTGATAGGGAGGTGGTGGAACATAAGGCTTTTCTGGTTCTGATGGCTTTTCCACCTCTTTGTCCTTCCCTTTCTTTGATCTTTCAGCTTCTTGATCATCCCTTGGGGCTGCCTCCCCACCAATTAGATCATTGTCCGCAATGATCAAATTGTTGTGCTGTATACCTGGTAGCTCTTTGCCACTTCTCAATGTTGGGTTTTGTTCAGGCTTCCCGTGTAGTTGGCCTTGGTTCTTTGAGCTAGAGGCCTGATTTTGCTTCAATTCCTTGATGTCCTGCTGCATAGATGCATACTGACTTGCAAACACTTGTTGACCCTGAAGCAGCTGTTGTAGAATACCACACATGTCTGGTCCCATCGACTGCTGCTGGTGAACCGGTGCTGACTGAAACTGATGCTGAACCGGCGCCTGCTGCTGAAACTGTGGTGGACTGAACCCTGATGGTGCTTTTGGCTGCTGCTGTGAACTGAAACTAGAACCCTGAAGTGGTTGCTGATGCTGACTGTAACCCTGATTCTGAAAAAACTGATTCTTAGGTTGAAAGGACCCTTGGAAGTTGTTCTTGGGAACAAAATTCTGTGGATCTTGAGAGGTAGGGTAGACTTGGTCTTGTGGGTTGGCTACATTGGAATTCCTGTAAGAGAGGTTCTGATTGGCATTGGCATATTGATATATTTGGAACCTCTGATTCCCAATATAGTTTAGCTCTTCCTGAGTAAGACCCTCTTCACTGATGTTCTCAAAGCATTGAGAAGGTTCCTCATACTCTCCTACAAAGTGCATTGTCTTTTGAGTGGCCAATAACACCTTGTCCAGCTTGCTTTCAAGTGTTTTAAAGTGTGCTGAGAAGAGAAGCCTCACTAAACCCATGGTGTGGGCATTGGTTAGTGTAGTGATAGACAATACTTTATGGGTCTCAGGGCTATCAATCCCCTTGTCAAAGTAGCACAAATGAGGTTGTCAATCCAAGAATGTGGTGATAGACTCTAAGCTATGTGATCAGTTTCTCAATTCAAGTAAACAAGTGAGGTTTTGATTGATTAATGACAACTAAAAACTTAAAACAAGATTAATGACTAAAGAAGTGATTAAACAAGAACTAAGCAAATGACAAGTGATGAGAATGTATGTATGATGATGAGAAAGGTCTTAGACATGATAGTGGATTAGGGTGCCTTCAGTGATAAACTAATGAGCTAATGAACCATATGATCAAGCAAACCATTCAACTTAAACATCATTAATTAAGTTAATCCTCTCATGAAGGTATCAACTTCTATGCCAAAACAGTTTCTAACCTAATCATCATTAGTGAAACATGAATTAACAAGCATTAAGAATCAGTTTAATCTGTCATTTAAGCATATAAACAATCATTCCCATGATGAATAACACTTAAACCTCTAACAACCTTGGTTCAGGCATTTCATCAAACACTTTTGGTGCATGAAATGCCCAGAATCTAGACCACATATGATTTGTATGGATCTAGCATTAAGAACAGGTTGTAGAGAATGGAATATGCATGATCTAACCCCTAAGCTCACTAATCTACCACTTAAGCACCCTAATCTACATATCTAAGACCTTAATATGGAGATTACTCACTAATCATGATCAACACACTAGATCTTTTGCAAGATGTGTTGTTAATCATGATTAGAAGTGTGTAAATGAAGAGATAGATGATAGATTCAGAAGAAAACAGCTTTAAACACCAAGATCTCTCAAACTCTCTTTATTAAACACTTAAAAATCGATATTTCTCTTCTTAAGTGGAGTCTTTTCACAAAAGAGGCAAGAGACAAAAGGAATAAAGCTTGAGTCTTGGGAAAAAAAACCCTAATAACTATTTATAGTCTTTAAAAACGAACCGGGTCAGCCCCGAACAAACCGGGTCCTGACCCGGCTTTAATGTATAAAGTGACGAATGTGCGAGTTGGTCAAGAGTCTCCCAGGTTGCATGCCCAAGTCGCACAACCAGAGGAAGAAGCTTGGACGAGGTAAAACTTTTGTAAACTCAGCCGCATTACCTTCTCGGAGTGATTTGCGAATCCGTCTGCGGCCTGGTCTCCACTACTCTTCAACTCGCATGCCTAAGTCGCACGGTCTTCAGGGATGTGCAGCTTGGTCTCCATTACTCCCAGGTTGCAGGCTCAAGTCGGTGTAGATTGCGAGTCTTCGTGCGGTTTAGTTCCAAGCGCGGCAAACTCGCATGCCTAAGTCGCACGGTTGTGGACTTAGCATTTTTCTTAGTCGGAAGCCTCAGACCTTATCCAGTGATAGCTTACTCGCACTTCTCAACTCGCCGCTCAACCTCCAGGCATTCATATTCAGGCGTTGCGAGTTAACCAAGTTGCAAGACTATCTCGCAGCATTAAGGGCTCCTCGGGACAACTTCACATTCAGCAGAGAGTAACTTCCAGAATACTGGTCCAAACGGTGATATTCCAGTTTCTGTGGACAGAAGACTCAGATATCGTCAACTTTGGTGAAGGAACATTTGGCGCTTGGGAAGTGGAAGGTTTCCTGGAGGGCTCAGCTTCGCAGTGCATTGACACGATCAGAAAGAGGCTTCTAGACATGCGTCCATTCCAGAGACGTTATCTTCTTGCTCATAGCTCCGAATTGAATGATCTCAGACGTTCTGGAAAGAGGACCAAATGTCTCGGATCCTGATGAAGGCCCTGTAAACTGAATCGGTCTGGAAGTGCATCGTCTTTCGCATTCTTCGGAGCTCATCGGGTCGGTCCAAAACGGCAGTCGAGAGAGGGGTGCCTTCCGACGAGCTTAACTCTCTGCTCCCGACTCCAAATCATATGATTCCAACTGTTCTGGAACCATGATCCAATCGTCTCCAACTTTGATGAAGCACCCGACAACTTAATCGGACCTTAAGGTTCCCCGGACAGGAGACCATTCAGGAGTATCGGATTGCTCCGGAATGGATGCGAGAGAGGTCTGTCTTCCGGTGACCGTATCTTTCAGCTCAGTGCTCCAAATGCCCTGATTCAACCTTTCCTGGGTTCTTGACTCAATTATCTCCAACGTTGATGAAGACCATGTAAGCTGAATCGGCCTGCAAGATCTTCCGGTGACGCAATTTCGGAAATGTATCTGCACCCGAGATTTTTGGCCGAGAGAATGGACCGTTGGTACGTGTTTTTGGCGAGAGGTCTCACTCGCGGTACATGAAAATCGCCGATAAAATTTGCCCGCGGTACGTGAGAATCGCCGAGAACCTCCAAAAACCCATTTTCACCATCTTTCAAACCCTGATCGCCATTCCTCTTCCTGGATCCACCTTTTCAACTCCAAATAGCTCCAAATGCACCTGATAAACACTCCAAACATGCAAAGACTCATTGGGACCTAATGCAACTCCTAAGTCCTAAAACAACCCCTAAAGACCTAAAATGCATGAAATAATATATGATTTGAAATGAAATATACAACCTAAATGATGCAAATTATGAACATATCATGTAGCTCCTGAATCTCTCCCATGCTTCACCAAAACTCTCATTGCTATGTTGAGTGAATCTGGAGATTTGGTTTCTTAGCTTTGCTGTTCTGGAAGTTGACAAGAACTTAGACAGAAATGCTTGCTTGCATTGCTCCCAATGTTTAATGGAGCCTCTTGGAAGATTCTTCTCCCATTGGTGTGCTTTGTCACCAAGACTGAAGGGGAATAATCTGAGCTTGAAGCTGTCCTCAGATACTCCATTTATCTTTGTCAAGTCACAAACTTTATCAAACTGGTCCAAGTGTTCCAAAGGATCTTCCATTGGCAATCCATGGAACTTGGAGTTTTGGACCATATTCAGTAAGGATGCCTTCACTTCAAAATTGTTGTTTTGCACCGGTGGTGCTTGAATCCCTGTTCCATACTGACGAGCATTGGCCCTGTCATTTTCCCCAACAAACACAGGTGGAGGATCATGTCTCCTTTGAGCTTGATGCTAAGGAATGTATTGAGGCTGTTGATCATTCCTATGAGCCTGCTGCTGATTGATATGTCTATATTTTACATCATTTAGAGTGCATTTTAGAGTCCTCATCTTGTGTTTTCCCATGTAAATTGAGTCTCTAGGCATGAAAATAGGATTTAGGGCTTGCATTAGGTCCCAAAGAGTTTTGCATGTTTTGAAGTCTTTATCAGGTGCTTTGGGAGTCATTTGGAGCTTAAGAAGAGGATCAGAGAAGAAGACGGTGAAGAAAAGGGTCAAAAATGGTGAAAACCGCCTGGAAGCTTTTCTCGACCAAAATCTGTCCTTGTCCGCGCGTCTCAAAGATCTGCAATCCGGGGAACCTTCCGGTCCGAACCAGTTGGCGGGGTCATCAGCAAAGTTGGATATAATCAAACAAAGATCCCAGAACAGTTGGAATCATCCAATTCGGACCCGTGGGGAGAAAGATACAGCTTCCGGAAGGTGCACCAACATTACGCGCATCCGAGAACCGAACGGCGGAGCACAAAGATCACGGCGGACGGAACCTTTCCGGACCGAACCAGCTTGCCCGGTCTTCATCAAAGTTTGAGATCTGTGAAAGACCTTTTCAGAACAGTTGGGATCGCTCAATTCGGACGAGTGGTTTGAAAGATAAAGTCTCCAGAGTTCACATCGGTCCAAACAGCTTATTTTCCGGTGATTCCAATGCGGTTCAAAGATGTGAAATCCAGGAAGCCTTCTACTTCCCAAGCTCCGACGCTTTCTTCATCAAAGTTCGAGCTTATTGAGTCATCTTGACTATGGGACTGGTCTCAGTACATTTGGAGTCGTGGGTTGAAAGTTACTGCTTCCGGAAGGCGACATGGTCAATACGAGCCCAAATATGTTGCGATACGCGCTAAGTGTTTTCTCAGGGCTCGGCATCATTACCTCGACATCGGCCAAGTCAAGGCTCATATTTTGGGAGTATTCTGAACTAGGCCTCGTGCTGACACGTCGGCACGTTGGAATCAAGGCATGCACACGTAAGAAATGAAGCTGGAAACAACTAAGTGTTGAACGTGCACCTCGGTGTAGCGACCTCGGCGTGCATGCCGGACCCTGTTCGCCCAAACCCCTCGACTACCAAGCGCCTCGGCATTTCATGCCGAGGTCCATTGTCACGAAGACAGAATCAAGAACAAAGCTGCCCAAGAACACACACGTGAAGATGGATCAAAGACTAGGGTTCATGCATGTTCTTGACGAGTTCTTCACGAGATCTTCGTTTGGATCTGGACTCACGTGCACTCCTCGACATGAAGACCTCGGCTTCACTCTCCGACACACCGTGGCACTCACCCATCAACCCAAGAACGCGGTTCAGTACCCGGTTTGTTCCGGGCTGACCCGCGACACTTTACCTTTGCTATATATACATTTTGAGACTAAAAACCTAAGGATCTTATCTCTTATCTGTTTTTAGCTTTAAGAACTTGCCTCTTTGGTGAAACTTGATGATTCTAATCTGATATCTCGTTTTTGCATGAGAAATCTTGTTCTTTCTTTATTTCTTTTATCATCTAACATTAAACTCCTCATCATGACCAGCTACAGGTCTTGCAAAGGACTCAGTGAGCTCGTTATGATTAGTGAGTAGTCGTTTAAGCGGCTTTAGATGAGTAGATTAGGGTGCTTTCAAGGTAGATTAGTGGGTTTAGGTGTCTAGTCTTGCATGTTTCATTCTTTAACCGACGAGATCTCTAGGCTGGATCCAAGCACATCACTTGAGGTTCAGATCTGAGACATATCTCGCATCAAAAGTGTTTGTAGAAATGTCTGAACCACTCGGTTAAGGGTTTAAGAGTCTTTCATCGCGAGAGTGATAGTTTGTTCTCTTAAATGACATTTTTGAACTAGTTCTTATTGCTGATTGATTCGATGCTTCTCAAAAGACATTTTTGGTATGAAGGAGGATCAATTTAGATGCTTAATACTTTCATGAGAAGATTAACATGCCTTGAGTTCAAAGTTAAATGAAACCGCTTGATGTTTTGATTCATTAACCCACTAGTTGAACATTGGGAGCACCCGAGTCAAGTATCTCGTCTAAAGTCTCTTGCTTTATTACATATTATCATCATCTGAATCGCTTAGTTATCATTTGCATCTTTGTTTTGTTTGATTCTCATCATTTACTTTACTTACATGCTTAATCGTTGTTATTTAGCTTAGTAAAACCTTCACCTTTTTATCTTGACTTAAATAAACAAACAACATAGACTAGTGTCTCGTTGACAAGTCTGGATTGACACCTCTTAGTACTACTTTGACAAGGGGATTGATAGCCCTGAGATCTAAAAAGTCTTATCTATCACTGATTCTGCTGAGCTTGCCTCTCATTCCTTTGTGCCATGTTGATATTGACAAAGGCTTGTTGCTCATTTCTGTAAGCTTGAGCCTGATTCCTTTGAGCTCCATTACCATGCTGAGCCTGTTGCTCCACTTGAGCCTGGTGCTCAATGTCAACCACGTGGTGCTCTCTCTGCTGTTCCATATCAGCTGCTCTATCTGTTTCCCTAGGACGTCTATCTCTTCTTCTTCTTGGCACTAAGAGATTGATATTGTCGTTCAGGGGAAATGGTGGACCACAGCTTCTTGACCTTGATCTGGTGTTCATACACCTAAAAACAAAGACAGAACTTGCAAAGTGATCAGTAAAACAAAATGAAAAGACTTGATATCAAGAACAGATCAAAGCTTAATGCTAAACAATCCACAATTTGGCAACGGCGCCAATTGATAGACACAACTTTTTATGGTCTTAGGGCTATCAATCCCCTTGTCAAAGTAGCACAAAAGAGGTTGTCAATCCAAGAATGTGGTGATAGACACTAAGCTATGTGATCAGTTTCTCAATTCAAGTGAACAAGTGAGGTTTTGATTGACTAATGACAATTAAGAACTTAAAACAAGATAATGACTAATCAAATGATCAAACAAGAACTAAGCAAATGGCAAGTGATGTGAATATGAGATGATGGAAGCATGAGATGATGGAAGCATGAGATTCTAGACATGATAGTTGGCTAGGGTGCTTTGGTGCTAAACTAGAAATGCTAATGACAATGATGAGACATGACTCAAATGATTTAGAACTCTAATCTAGATTAATCCTCTCATGAAGGCATTAACCTCTACACTAATCCATTTTGAAACAAAATCATCATTTGTGAAATATTAATCAATGAGCATTAAGAAATAGTTTTAAAAGATCATTCAAGCAAATAACAAGACATCATCATGCAGCAAATTCTTAAACCTCTAATACAGCTCTTTCAGGAATTTCATCAAACACTTTTGGTGCATGAAATTCCCAGATTCTAGATCACAAGTGATGTGCAAGGATCTAGCCTAGAGATCAGCTGTTTAGAGAGATGAATCAATGAATCTAGTCCTAAGCACTCCTAATCTAACACTTTAGCACCCTAACCTACACATCTATAACCTCATTAAGATGACTACTCACTAATCATTCTAATCTCTCTTAAACCTTTGAAAATTGAGAAGATTTGCATGATTAATGATGAGAAATGGAGATGGAGAAGATGGATAATGATGGATTTGTGATAGTAGGAATTTTTCAATCCTTGATCAATTCCTCAACTACTCATGTCATTGTAGCACTTGAGGTATCAATCCAAATGGAGAGATTCTAGACACTAAGACTATGAGGAGCTATCTTAATCCAAGTCTAATAAGCAGATGAGTTGGTAAGCAAGATTATCTAAAAGCATATAACAAAACAAGCAAGAACAAACAGTAATTAAGAATTAAACAAGCAAGAGAAACTAAACAAACACTCAAATTCAAATAAAGAGAAAGCTAAACCTCTAGATGTGATCATTGATCAGGGTGCTTTAAATGTGAATTCATGATGCTAAGCAAACAATGCAACACTTGCAAATCTTTAGTCTAGACTTCCAATTCAGATTAATTCATTCTCATGACAGAAATCCCTTTGTTAATTACCAATTCAAGACTAATTCCCATTAGATGAATAAACAATCAACAAGCCTAAGGGTCCAAGTCTAAAATGACCAGACAGCCTCTTTGTGCATCAAAATAAGAGCAAAGAAAGACTGAATCTTATACAGAAAGATAAAGCAAGCATCACATGATCTCAAATCCAATCAACTTAGAGTTTAAAGCTAGATTAATCCTCTCATGAAGGTATTAATCTCTATACTAATATATTTTCAAACCAAATTCCCATTTGTGAAATATGAACTAGTAAGCATTAAGAAACAGTTCTAATATGTCATTTATGAAATTAACAATCATTCCCATGACATTAATGCATAAACCCTTAGTTAGCTTTCATTCAGGCATTTCATCAAACACTTTTGGTGCATGAAAAACCCAGATTCTAGACCCAAGTGATGTGCAAGGATCTAGCATTAGGATCAGCTAACTAAGGAAAGGAGAAGAGAATCTGAGCTTAAAAAATCATTAATCTACATCTAAGCACCCTAATCTACACACCTAGAAGCTTAAAAGATGACTACTCACTAATCATGAAGAACACATCTAATCTTTTGCAAGAGATGATGTTAATCATGATTAGAAGCAGA